TTTTTTTTTTTTTTGTAAACATTTCATACCATGGTATACTGTGGCCATAAAAAGGTATTTGGACCTTATATGTGTTTTTAAATATATTTAAAAAATATATATATTTATTTAAAATTTTCAATTATTATTATTTTTTTTATTTTATTTCAAACCTAATTTTTTTAAATTATTGTATTGGTATGTTATTTTATCTCATGCATTGACATTCAAATGTTTTAAATGTGTGGCCAAAAATATATATTCACTAATATTCAAAAGTTTGGCATCTGAACATTATTTTTTATGTTTTTAAAAGAGGTCTCTTATTCTCACCAAAGCTGCATTTTTGGATAAAAAATATAATAAAAACAGTAATATTGTGAAACGATAAAAATGATAACAATAACACCAATAACTGTTTTCTACTTTAACATATTTTAAAATGTAATTTTTCTTTAATGTCACATTCGGAAATCATTCTAATATGCTGATTTGGTGCTCAAGAAATATTTCTTATTATTATCAATGTTAAAAATGGTTGATATTTTGTGTAAACTGTAATACATTTTTTCAGGATTCTTTGATGAATAGAAAAGAAAATTCAAAAGAACAGAATTAATTTGAGATAGAAATCTTTTGTTATATTCTTAATGTCTTTACTGTCAATTATGACCAATTTAACGCATCCTAACTGAACAAAAGCATTCATTTCTTTGAAAAATTTCTGACCCCAAACTTTTGAATAGTAGTGCATTTTGTCCACTGTATATCAAAGCACTGTGGTATTTCCATCTGTTTTTTTCAACATCTATTTTTTGTAAGGATCAATACTGTGCATGTTCTTGAGAGTTTTAACTTTTACCTTGTGATGCACAGTAATAGCATGAGCAAACATTTTGTTCTCCATTATTAGACTAATGTCATTAGATAACTTATAAAAGCATCATTACAACATAATCAACAGCTCTAGCACTTTTCAAATATGCCATGGTGAGCTTTTCAAGAGAACATTCAGGTAGGGTTAATGTTCCATCACCTCTGGAATGCAGCCGTCGTACGTGACCACTTTGACAATGTCATCAAGCGGCAGAAGTGAGTTGCACTTGAGCTCTGTATCAACGTTCTTGCCCTCGGTGCATGCTGCCAGCAGCTCCACTAGGGTGATGTGGTACGCTAGAGCATCATTCTCCTCCAGCGGAGACAACATCATATTTTGCAGCACCGGGAAAGAGGCACGGTCATTGTAGAAAACCAACACATCTTCTCCTCCATTCACCAGCTACGGCCCAAAACAAACACAATGTCTGATTTAGCTCTACAAACACATAAATTCACTTTTATGTGAAGGGAAGTCTATATTGACAATTAGTGGAGAGTGATACAAAAATGAGTATTAAAATATTTTCAAAATTACTGATAAGTATAAAATTATACAAAAATAAAACAATGGATATAAAAATATAATTATTTTCAAAATATATTATTAATTATAATTACTTTAAAATATGTGCACAAATATTATTTTAATATTCTGAGTATTATAAACATGATACACATGTACATCTCCATCACACATTAAATTCAAAGTCCTTCTCACCTCATTCATGACTTTGCATTGACATTCCTTCACGTATTTGCCATCGGCTTTCACAATGGTTTGGAGGAAGCACAGGTACTGCACGTGACGGCCGTGGGTCTCAATGCAGTGCACGAAGTGATGCACCACGCGGTCGCTGATCTCATTGCACAGGTGGTAGTTGTTCCTGAAGATGTAGCACATGGATTTTGCCTCCAGAAGCTGAGAGAAGCAAAGAGAGAATCAAATGAAATATTCATCAGAATACCCTTTTAACACCAAATAATCTATTAACAGAAAGGACGTGTAATGATCATTAACAGTGTCCTCAGCTGAAATCAACTCAGTGGTGACACGCACCCCAGGGGTGAGGAAGAGGTTGAGGTGTTTGTGCAGCAGCGCCTGGTTCTGAGGATTATCTCTGCAGAAGTACTGAAGGAAAGTGTGGGCTAGAGACATGATCTCGTCCATCTTTTCGTCCCCCTGAAGACGGAGCAGCAAGAGTTTTGGCAGCATAAGGATCTCAATATGACAATCTCCAGGTCTAGATTTATTTTACAGTAGCATATGATAATGTTACGATATATTATGGTTAAACCACTTCTGAATTAATGAACAAAATTCGCTAATGCCTGGTTGTGGAATCTATAAAATACTGAACTGATCATTTAAGCACTGAAGGAACGTCCACTCACCTTCTCATATGGGATCTGGAGGAGGTCTAGCACCACAGTGTGAGCTCCCATGTTCTTCAACAACCTCTGCTGCTGCACACGAATCTTCTTACCAGGAGAGCAGAGTTTACTGAGACTCAGCAGGATCTACATCAGAAACAAAATCACAAGTTTGAAGTTTTAAAGTATTTTTGAGTTCTTCGGTCTCGAAAATTTTTCATCACTGAAGCTGAGGAACACTGTATGAAAAAGTTCCCACCTCTTTGACAATTTTGTAGTTGTTGGCTTTGTTGCTATCTATTTGAGGTTTACTGCTCCCATCCTGCACTGGGCTCAAGATACCTGCTTCCTATAAACCAGAAATGAAGGTGTGAATCAAGGTGTAAATCAAGAAATTTAGTGTCTCATAGAAGATATCCATTTAACTCTTTTATTTTAGAATTATTTATATATTACTATTATATTATATATCATTTTTTGAATTAGCTTTTATTTTTACATTTTTGTTTTTCAATTTAAATTTGATTTAAGCATTCATAATTGTATTTTTTTTTATTTATTATGTGCTTTTGTCATAGTTAGTGTTTTAGTTTTATTTTTTAGTAGTTTAGTAATTAAACTTGAATGAATATTAAAAGTTTTGCCTTTGCAACTAATTGAATTAATATAAGTTTAAGTTTTTTTAAAAGTTGTTTATATACAGTATTTATATTTTATTTTCAGCTTCATTTCAATTAATGAAATTTTTGCTTTTTGACACAATAGCAAAAAATTATTAAAAATGACAACTAAACTACCAGGGTAAAACAATGTGCATTATGATTATTTTATTACTAATATCAGTATTATGAGTTTATCATCATTTATGAAATATAATGTTGGTCAATCTCTAATTATTAGGACAAAATTATTAGTGAACTAATCTTATGAGGGTCACAAAATTAATCCACATCAAACATTAACTGCTGTATCAAAGTCTTACAAAATAAGATGGCAAATGTATTCTCTTTGCTGTATTCGCAATGCACTGCAGAGAGGAAGCAAATCTGCTGCACTACAATTTAGCAATATGCTTGCAGTGTTTCTCCAGTAGGTGCACACCTCCAAATTCTGCTCTTTGTTTTGATTCTCAGCAATGTCTTCACTGCTGTAACCTCCACTCTTCTCAACCCAGAGCTCAGACTTCTCCACTGTCAGCCGCAGCTGGTCCAGACTTGCCTTAATCTTCTTATAATTCTCCACATCCTCCTCAGAAACCAGCAACTGGACCTGCAAAACAAACACCACCGTTAACTGGCCATTAGCACAATTAAAACATGTGGTTCTTCCATTAAAACAGAATATTTAAAACCTGTGCTAGTCTCCATACACTGATAAAAAGATAAGAAGAACTGATAAGAAGTATGAGTGAGAGTAAGACCTGTTTGAAGGCCTGCAAAAGTTCGGCTCTCTGGCTGAAGTGTTTGAAGATGAGCTGAAGAGAGCCGGAAACCAGCGGAGGGTAGTCCTGCATGATGAGGTGAATAAGCACCCGCAGAAACGTCTGACCGCCTTCATCATCGAGGTCCACCGAGTTCCTCTCCTTAGCACTGTGAACACAACAACACAAGATCTGAATCAGTAATGAAGCCAATCCAAAAATCAAGTGTTTACATAGAAGTCCTAAAGACACAGCAGCAAAAAAAAAGGCAAAATTACAGAAATGTAATCTAGTAGAGAGTTTATCATGTTATATCTTGGGCATGTTTGTTCATATTGTTGTTTTTAATTCATTCAATCACACAGCACATTGCTTCTTTTTATTGTCAGAAAAAAAAAATCCACATAAAGGTAAAAATGCCTCTTAAAATCAATTTTTAAAAAGGGGGGAAAAAAGTTTATTTACACTACCGATCAAAATTTAAAGGTCAGTAATATTTTTGGTTTGCTTAAAAGAAAAAAAAAAACTTTTATTAAGCAAGAATGCATTAAATTGATCAAAGGTGAAACAACTTGTAACAAATTGTTACAATACAATTTCAAATAAATGCTGTTCTTTTGAACATTCTATTAATCAAATCCTGAAAAAGGCAATTTCCACAAAAAATATTATGCAGCACAACTGTTTTTAACATTGATAATAAGAAGACGTTTATTGATCACAAAGTCAACATACTGAATTTTTGAAGGAACAGAATGATTTCTGAAGAATCTATGTAATGACTGCTGAAAATTCAGCTTTGCTATCATATGAATAAATCCCATATTAAAATATATTAAAACAATTATTCGAAATTTGAACAATATTTCACAGTATTACTGTATCGACAGTCATTTTCAATCCTTTTAAAAAAAAAGGCAGTATCTGTGCTGATAGTGATTCAGGTATCACAATTCAATCGTATTTTATACACCAAACAGAAAAAAAACAAACACATTGCAAGAAATCATTCCCTCACCTCCCTGAAAACATATTCTCTGCTTTCTCCGCAATCTCCTCAATGTTTGGCTCTGGAACATACCACAGTACCATAATATTAAAACATACACACACACATACCCTTGAAACCAAAAATAAACTAATCAACTGCATGGTGTGGTTGTAAATGAATTTATATGTGTATGTCATGAAACTCTCACCAGCCATGACAGGAACTTCTGCCACTGAAGCAGAAGTGTCCAAAGTCTGGTCGCCAAACTCTTTTTTATAGATAGACAGCAGATAGGTGATGCGGTAATCGAGACGTACATTCAGAATGAACTATAAATAAAAAAGATGAAATGAAAAAGGATGCCAACATTTAACAGAACCTCCAAAACTTTCTTCGACATAAACTTGAGTTTGTGTTGTATAACTGATAAATTTAGTTCATTGACATGCAACAGTCTACAAGGGCATCACCTGCAGAATCTCAATAATCCTGAGCTTGGTGTCCATCACCATGACGTTCTCGTTGTCAGGGAGACAGATTTGCTTTCCGTGGATTGGCTGAGCATCAGGGAGACAGTGGGGCATCATCAAGCCTCTGCTCAGAACCATCTGAGTCACCATCTCACCCACACCGTGGATGGTACGCATGACATTATTACCTACACAAACACAGCCTGAAGTGTTACACCGCCTCAAGGACAAGCAGCTATTATCTTGCAAAACAAACACTGAAGACAGCTTTAAAATGGGGTCTCACCTCCCTCAGGGCCCTTGTTGAGTTTGAACATAAATGTGGAAGTGGGTTGGACAATGTCCAGGATGGCCAGCAGGGTGCGTGTGAGGCACAGCAGCTCATTAAAACTGTAGAAGCCAAAGTAGACCAGGTTACGTGCCAGGTGCACCACCTGTTAGAGCGACAGACAGAAGAAAATCCTTTAAAATTCAAAGTGTTAGAGACTGAATCATTAGTTTTCTGGTAGAGCTAATGCAGCCAATCTGCTCTGCTCTGTCCTCTGGACACGTCTCATAATACACTCAAGAAAAACATCAAACCTGGCACACAAATACAAAACACACAGACACACGAGCATGAAGTACAACATAAGCTCCATGTGACTGATTCACTAAAAAGAACTGGCTCATAAGGACTACACTCTTTGCGCTTTATGTTTTTGGTGCACTACAAAGAACCAATTCAATTGTTCGGGAATCAGTTTAACTTAAAAATAATGCCTAATAAAGTACAGTACACCCTTTTGGAATCCAACTACACTGGAAGTGCTGTATTTTTTATTCACTAATAAAGTCGATTGAACTATACCAGTCAGGCTGTATGGATGAATTTGATTCAATACAATAAATTTTATGGTGTGGGAACCAGACCACACTTGTTGTGCTGTGTTTTTGATCCACTAAATAGAACCAAATCTTTATAGAGTCATTCACTCAGTAATTGGTTGGACTACACTGTTTGCACTCTATGAACAGATTTGATTTAATAAAAAAACAGTTCATAAGGGTCATTCATTTGGTAATCCGACTACACTGGTTGTTCTGTATGTTTTTGATTTACTAAACAGAACCATTCGTTCAGGATTCAACAGAAGTACAGCAGTCATGTTGTATGGATGGATTCGATTCACTAAAAAACAGCTTATACTCTAAGAATCATAGGATGGAGAATTTAACTACACTGTTTGCACTGTATGACTCTGATTCTCTACAAAGAACCAACTAATTTGTTTGGGAATCAGTTGGACCATTTGTGCTGCATAGATATTCATAGATTTTAATTATCAAATTCATTTGGTAGTCAGACTACACTGGTTGTGCTGTGTTTTTGATTCACTAAATGGAGCCTATTCCTTAGAATCATTTGTTCAGGAATCAATGACTACACTAGTAGTCACACAGTATTAATGGATTTGATTCACTAAAAATGCAGCTTATTAGAGACATTAGCTCAGGAACTGGACTACACCGTTTGCGCTGTAAGGATCAATTTGATTTACTAAAAAAACAGCTCTTTAACATCAGTCATTTGAGAATTAGACTCCACTGGCCATGCAGTGATTGCAATTTACTAAAAAGAACCAACTCACAACTACAGTGAGTGACCAGCACTGACTAGACTAGTCATGCTATATGAACAAATCTGCATCATTAAAAAAAAGCCTATAAAAGTCATCAGTCCGAGATTTGGACTACACTGTTCGTGCTTGTATGGTTTTGATTCACTTTAAAGAATCAACTCTTCAGAGTGATTCACTGACTACACTGATCTTGCTATATGAATAAATCTAAACCACTAAGAAAAAAAGCTTATAAGAGTAATTTGTTCTGGAATTGACTACCCTGGGGTGCGTTTCCCAAAAGCAACTATGGTTGCAAGTTCCGTCGTTACCAATAGAGTTCAATGGAACTTACCACCATAGTTAGCTAACGATGCTTTTGGGAAACGCACCCCAGGTCAGGCTGTATGTTTCGCACTGTGGATTTGGTGTTGGCTGAATAGTAGCGCAGGAAACAATGTCAGAGTATTTCAGAGTATTTATGGTGTTCTGTCCACACTGATGGAAAATTGCACATGTGAGAACCATTGACGGAACCAAACATCATCTCACCTCAAGGGTCAATTCATTCTTCTCTCTGTCTCCAAAGGGATCAGGCTGACTGACCACATCTTTGAGATATTCATCCACAAAATGCATAGTAGGGGCAAACTTTCTCTTCATGTCCTCTCTGGATGTGTCTCTGAACTCATAGTCATACCTGTTCACCAATTTTACAGTCAGATAAGCTGAACAACACAAAGCAGTCTTATAAATAAAGCCACATAATGGTAGAAGCACCAGAGGCAAAGATAGTTTCCATCTTACTCATTGACAGAGATCTTGGAGGGTATCTCAGTCCAGAGGCGCGCATAGCGAACAGGAACCACGGCCTCCTGCGGGTCGCGGTCCACATGCATGTGCAGCATTAGACGACAAAATGAGGCACGCAGGTTGTAAGGCAGGCAGTCATCAAACATGCAGCGGAGGATTAGATCTACTGGCAGCTGATTGGAAATCTGATTGATGGCCAGATACTGCCGATCCAGGCACATTTTAGCAAAAAGATTGAGCTGACACCTGAGAATGGACAGACATTCATATGTACTCCAATTAAAAAAATAATAAAAGATCCTGCTTAGAAGATAAAACAATAAATAAACAAAATAAATTAAAATACACTATCTTTCAAAGATGTGATTGAACTCTAACCTGTAGTAGGTGATGATGTCAACGTATAATTTTTGTCCATCCTTGGCATCCTGAGCCAGGTGGCGGATGGACTTCCCATGAGGCTCTTTGTGGTTATCAATCCAGTATAGCCATACCTCTTCATCATCACCATCCTCCTGGATTAAAGATGACTCTAGAGAGGTCTCTGTGTGTGGGATCAGTCTACGGAAACATAAACCCAGTCATATATCTTAATATAATACAAAACGACCTATTAGACACTATTAGAGTTATTAGAGTTTCTTCCCATAATTCTGAGTCATTGTTATATAGCTAATCCCAGGATCTCACTTGGTCTGGATGAGGATGTCTGCGTTGGTGGGGTTCAGCATGAATTTGCAAATCAGTTCCTGAGTGACAGGAATGGCTGTTTTGTTGGAGACGCACAGGTCAGACAAATAATCCAGAAACCTGGGGAAAAATGCACAATAAAATATACATAAATATATTTATATATAAAATATATAATTCTTTTAGTTTTCTATTCATCACAGAATCTTAAGAAAAATATATCACCGTTTCCAAAAAAAAAATATATCAAGCAGCACAACTGTTTTAACACTGATAATATTTAAAAAATGTTTATAGGGCATTAAATCAGCATATTTGAATTATTTCTGATGGATTATGTAATACTGAAGTCTGAAGTAACAGCTGCTCTGCCATCACAGGAATGAATTATATTTTAAAGCATAAAATCAAAAATTTTAATATTTCATAATATAACTAATTTGGAATCTAAATGATACTAATGGGACAAATAAGAATCTTATAAAAATAAAATCCTACTTGGAAAAAAATATAATACATTTTTGTTTATCCAGCAGAATATTACAGCACGTGTCTTAAAGGGGTCATATGATGCGATTTCAATTTTTCCTTTCTCTTTGGAGTGTTACAAGCTATTGGTGCATAAAGAAGATCTGTAAAGTTGCAAAGACTAAAGTCTCAAATCCAAAGAGATATTCTTTATAAAAGTTAAGAGTCAGCCACACCTACCTAAAACGGCTCGTTCTAACACGCCCCCACATACCTACGTCACTATCTGGGAAGATTTGCATAACGCCGCCCAAATGTTCACACAAAGAAAGAAGGCGTAACTTTTATTCTCGCTGTAGTATTGTTGCGGCCGCCATGTCGTGAAGGCGCTGTGTGTTTCGTTGTGAAAGCGAAACTACTTTGTTTGGCCTTCCAAAAGAGGACAATATCTGCTTCGTCATGCCTGGAGCTGATCCGTGCTGGTTGCTGAGGAAATACAACAACTTTGCGCTGTGGATCGCCGGATCAGCTTTCACCATGGACGAAGCGGAGTCCAGCCCGGGGTCGTCACATGTGGTTGCCGCAAGCTGCCTTCGTCGAATCCGCCGGCCGCGCCCGTTCTCAAGCCCGCCGCCTCTGCTCACTGTAGCCCTCTGGCCGTTCCTCACTCTAGCCCCCGGCCTCTGCTCACTCTAGGCCGCCGTGTGTGACGCTGTGTTTCGTTGTGAAAGCTAAACTACTTTGATTGGCTTTCCAAAAATGGACACGACTAGAAATCAGTGGTTAAATTGTATTTACAACACTTTTTTTATATTTAAAGAGTTTTTATATTTTATATTTTTTATATTTAAAGCGAGTTTTTTGGGCAGTGTAGAGTAGGGCTTGTTGTTTGTCATTTCTCCGATCACAAATGCAGACATGGTTTTATGTTTACGTGGCGCGATGCAACGCAACTAAAAAGACAGTATAAGTCATTATAATCCATAATTATGTCCCCACTGGATGCAACGAATGCCTTGTTTATAATGGGTTTTCATGTTTTTGAATCATCGCCCCGGCCTGACAGGGCATCATCACAATATGGTAGGGGCGTAACATTTCCGTCACACGCTTGAAGTATTCGGCCAATCATAACGCACTGGATAGCTGGCCAATCACAGCACACCTTGCTTTTCAGACCGATGAGCTTTGTAAAAATCGACGCATTTCAGAAAGGCTGGGCATGGAGGAGAAACAATAATGTACAGTATGTGGAAAATAATGTGTTTTTTGAACCTTAAACCGCATAAACACATTTCATTACACCAAATACACCACATAATGTTCTTTTTAGCAACATCATATGACCCCTTTAAAGATCTCTTATTTGATCCCAATACATTGGTCCCAAATTACAGAGAATCCATTCGTTTTCCTTAAAGATTTCATCAGTTCATTTAGCATTTTCTGCCGGTACTGGTTAGTGCCAAACATTTGAATGGATGTCTAAATCTCTGGGTCAGACCTGGGCTCTCGGTTCCTGCGCAGAAGTTTGACAAAGGTCTCAATCTCACGTGCAGTGATGTGTTTCTCTAACAGTTTGCGGTTGTTGTGCAGGAGAGCAGTGATTGTATCTTCGGCCAGGATCTCATAGCCGATTTGAGCCTGCATGATGGAAAAATTCTTGGCTATGTACTCCTGTGAGAAAGAAGACACGTATATTAGTCTACTGGACAATCCTAATAATTCAAACTGATAACTGGAGATGTTCCTTGCCTGATTCTTGCGGTAATCTTGTTGGGAATGGCGCAGAATTCTGTAACACAGTTGTAGCATGTACTTAAATAAAGCATTGCGCTGCTCCCCCATATCTTCCAGCTTCGGCATGGACGAGTCTTTAACCTCAGAAAATGGGGCTTTAAGAATTCCAAAGATCTGCAAACATAAAAATTACAGTCGGAAATTTGCCATGCAATCTACGATTCTTTAAGAATCAACTTGAGATTACTGTTCGAGCAAACCTGTGCCAGGATGTTCTGCTCTCTCATGAGTTTCTGCCTCTCTCTGTTGGGGTTTGAGATGACCACAGACAGCACGTCCTGTCCGTTGTTCGGCACATCGCACACAAAGAAGATCAAATCCTCCAAAAGCTTAATAGTAAACCTAAACGTAAAAATATAAATGCATAACGTAACACGTAAAAATATAAATGCATAACAGTGATCTCATTTTACTTCCTTGGCTTGAAAGTGATTCTGTGTGAGCTGTGCTTCATACATTTCTATGCTATTGACAATGGACAATGCTAGTGTGCAAAAAAAAAGGTTTGTGACCCCATTGTGACCACACCTTAACAAATTCAAAGGCCTTCAGTAAGTGTGACGTATACCTGCGTTCATTTGCTACTGCGAAATTGCTGATCCCCAAAATACGCACAAACATCTCCAAGACCTTGTTGGCATCATTGGCAAAATCCAAATCCCTGACTTCTGACAGGGGGACAGAATTAATGGAGAACGCCTCCTTGTCCTCCTTCATGCGGCAGGTGCCGATCTGTTCAAATAAACAGAGAAATTACACAAGCTTTCATTGACTAGACAAATTTTTCTTCAAATAAAAATAAAGGAAATAAACAACCTTGAGCATAACGGGTCGTTCCTCCTCAACATCAATGGGAATGTTAGTACTGGTCACCCAAGTGTTTGTGCACAAGTTCCTGAGTCTCACATAGGAATTCCTAAAAAAGGACATATTTCCAAGGAATCGAACCCATGACCTTGTAGTTGTTAGCATCATACTAATTTTTCGGCTACAGGAAATACCCAACAGTACATTTGGCATATCGACAGCACTTAATGGGGACTTGAATAAAAACTAATCTGGATAAATGGTTTCATAAGTATATTTTAAAATCTAAATGGTTGCTCTAAAAAGGCTTCGTGAGCACTTGAATGCATTGGGAGCACTTGTTCTACAATCATTACTCCCTTTCAAACCCTTACTGCTGCTTTTTCACACCTACATCTCTTAGCTTGCACTTCTAGCCAATTTTGAAGCTTATTTAGAGCTTGTCTCTTTAGGGTAGATTGCTTGTCCCGTTCCTCATTTCCGATAAAAGGGTTTGTTAAACAAATAAATGCACATCTAAATTTAAGTGTTTTTCATTCTAATCTCATAGTTTTCATGATTAAAAGTCATTTTAGTGTACAGGAACAAACCTGGGAACTAGGCAGTCTGCCCGCTGTAAGGTGGTGGCATCCAGTTCAAAAAGAGAGGCAATGTCATTGCCATGGGGCACTGCAACAAGGGTGTAGGGGATCTTGTCAGCCTGCCACTTCTTTTTAGAGTACAAATTGTCTGTGTTGGTCTGAGGTTTGCACAAGGAGACAGGGGAAGGTCACATTGGTGTATAAAAACCCACATATGACAATGCAAGTAACACTGAGTCTGCATGTACTGTACCATTATTACTGGTTTTAAATATACTTACTTGTGATTATGGGTTACTGTATGTAATTTTTATTCTTATACTGTATTCTCATATACAGTATATTCTCATATACTGTATTAATTTTTTCCTGCATTTTTCTATTCTACAGAGATTTCTTTTTTTACATGAAAAATATTCATGGTGAAAGTACCTCAAACCAGGGTTATTATTGTTAACTAAAATTAGGATTAAAACCTTAAAAAATATTGTTTTTTATTTGAAATAAAATCAACATTAATGCTACTAAAATATGAAAAATAATAAATGTATTATATTTAAGCCAGTTGCTAAGGAAACATTTCTCATTTTCATTGATGTACTAAAATAACTGAAACTGAAATAAAAATTAATTAAACAATATAAACATTAAAAAACAAAAAAATGCAGAAACGCCAAACAAAACATTAAATGGCCTAAATGGAATTAATTAAAATGAAAATGGAAAACATAAAAACTAATTTAAACAATGAATAAAAACTACAATAGTATCTCAATAACAGTAAAACAACAAAAACTGTCCTGCTGAATAATAAAATCTAATTAAATATAAAAAATAAAATAAAATAACCTATTTATAGTAATGCACTTCCTATGGAAGTCTATGGGGCAAAGCATTTAAAAGAAGAAATATGCAACGCTTATTTTTGTTAAAGCTGTTTGCTGGCATTACAAGGTCATAACAGGGTTCGAAGGTTGCATATGACAAGACACGATTGCAAGTCATTCGACTAATCTCATGCTGAAACTTGCAATGTTTATGTCTTGTGGCTCTACTTCCATAAAAGAGTGCGTTTTAACATTTATTCAGTTCCAATGTTAGTGTGCTACTGTAAACACATCTTTGCTCATTTTTAAATAACTGACAACTGTTAATCAACAGTATTGAACCTGCAATTCCTACAACGGCCACAGCTCAAATAGATCTTGCAAAAAAATTCTGAGAAAAACCCAGAGGTCATCTACAGTGAGGATATTATGCAGGACTGCATCTGTAGCACAGACTGTTTTCACCAGAGCTTTTTGATGGAGGGCTATTTGGAGAGCAGCATTATAAATTCTCCTCTGCTCTGACTCTCTGCAGCTCCTCTGACTCACTCCTCCACTGAAGCAGACAGCACGTCTGCCACACTCTCACGGGGCACCCCCAGATTCAGACATTATGTAAGGAGCCCCCTCTGCGAGTGTGCGCGCACGTGTGCGAGTGTGTTTGTCTGCAAGGCTGCTGAAGTAGAATGCTAATACAGCGGAAAGGTGCAGTGAGAGATACAGGCGGAAGAGAAAAAAAATTCCGGAGAGTAGGAGGACGGGAGTTGTGCGAGTCTGTCTGTTGCAGCGTGAAGGAGGGGAGAGAAGCGGATTACGTAATAGAGAAGTTGTGCAGGAGAGTTGGGCTGAGCCGCAATGCTGTGTAGACGAGACAGAACGGGTTCTGTTTACTTCAGCAGAGAAAGTCAGACACAAAATTTCAAATACAGTTCAACACAATCAGCAAATGTGATTAATACTTCAAAGATAGAGTCTGCAAACTTAAAAAAATATGTGTGTATTCTGAAGAATGGGAAAAGGATCTTCTGTGGAACTCTGCAGATATTTCTGTGGAATTCTGCAAGCCTAGTTATGACTCACATAGGTTGGCATCCAAGTGAGGTCTGACTTACCTCGTTTTTGGTGCTGATACTGTCGGTACGATCTTTGAAATCAGGATTCACCTGAAACAGAAGCAGAAGTGTTCATGAAGGCCTTATGGAATACACACAGTTACAAAGGGGGGTTGTTTCATCATTTTTATCTTGGACAATAACCCCTCTGTCTGACTTGTGCACAGTGGATGGCTGTGACGGATTCTACACCACTGTGACAATAACATTGAGAAGGCTGCCACCTGCAGCCCATCTTCTGCACTTTTAAAAGTGTAAAAAATAACGATAAACCTCTCCAAACGAACATTTTCAGAGGTTGATCTTTTATAGTTTAGAAGACTTGACTATAAAAGTTACGTGTACTCTACCATTCTAAAATTTGGGATTGGTAAGGGTTTTTTTATGTTTTGGGAAAAAAGCATTTTTTTTTTTTTAAAAAGGGCATTTATTTGATCAGGAATACAGTAAAAACAGCAATATTGTAAAATATTATTATAAATAAAAAAATTACCATTTTTAATTTTAATATACCTTAAAACAAAATCTATTCCTTTAAAGGTAAAGCAGAATTTTCGACAGCCATTACTCCAGATTTCAGCTTCACATCATTTTAATGCAGATTGGTGTTCAAGAAACATTTCTTATTATTAATGATTTTAATAAAGCAGTTGTGCTATTAATATTTTTGTCAAAACTTTGATGCATTTTAAGATTACAAATTATTTGTAACATTGTAAAAGTACTGTCACTTTCGATCAATTTAATGTGGTAAACACTACTGTTAAAAAGTTTAAGTATTCATTTTGTCTCCGATGTTTCTCCAAAATTCCTTAACGGAAATAATAATTGAAAAAATTGAGACTACTCTTGACATTCAAGTAGAAGTACAGAGCTCTGGACCCTTTTCACAGTCTGTGATGACATCTCCACAGTTATTAACGTCGCAAATTTAGCAATGCTTTTTCATATTTTTATTTTTAAAAAAATGTAATTACTGTACATTTATAACCCTATACTTTGTGTTTTCTTACCTTAGCATTAAATTACAGAAAACGGGTTAACACTGCTGCTTGAGTGTTTCTAAAACAATAGCTGAGGAAGTGACGGCAAATCTGACTTCTTTCTCTCTTCTGTGCAACATAATAAATCTGTTCATTTTTTTCCTCTTTTGCGAAGTCGTAGAAACGCTATCGTGGATTTTTTTCATTTGCTATTGGGGCAAATGGGAACGTAAAAATTATATTTGTTGTGACGACTTCCACTTCTGAGAACCCTGGAAATGGGAAGAGTGTCCATAAAATTATTTTGGAATATTAAAGTTCAGATAATTTGGTGTTGGGAGTGTTTGATGAGAAATATATGAGTTGATATTAAGATCTCCTTAAACTCCTTGCTGTCTACAAGAAACAATAGAGATCTCAGAGAGAACTGCTAATACATTGTGACATTCTTCTGATGTCAGCATTCAGATAATGTGTTATTGATTTCAGGGTCAGTAGAGTAAATGCAGCTAAATCACCCAAGTGGCGCACCAGTGAGTTTACTGCTCTAGGAAAAGCTTCATGCGTGCAGCATGCAAATAGATGTAAACCACAGGAATTCACACAAACCACAACATGTCAAACCATATAGTAAACAGCTCTTTAACCATGACTGAATTATGTAAAACAGGCAGAAGGGAAAAATCAGATGAGTTTCTGGGAAGGACTAAACAATGTAGACATGGAATGCACACCTCCGCCGCAAGGTAGTGTCCTGTGGCGAGGTGTTTGAAGCGAAACAGGCTGTTCCACTGGCCAGCTCCTCCTCTGCAGGGGTCATAGTGGACAACCTGAAGCACACGGGACAGGATGAGAGACTCCAGATTAATTCTGTACAGCATGATATTGTTCTAACATCTGAGTAAGAACATATACTACCGTTCAAAAGTTCCGGGTATGATAAAGTTTTTTTTTTTAAAGAAATTATTATTTGTACTTAGCCAGGACAAGTTAAACTGATTAAAATGACAGTAAATAAATGTATAATATTACATAAGATTTTTATTTCAGATAAAGGCTGTTCTTTTGAACTTTTCATTTATTACGGAATCCTACAAAATTAAGTTTTCACAAAAATATTATGCTGCACAAATGTTTTCAACATTGATAATAATAAGAAATGAAAACTGGAGTAATGGCTGCTGAATATTCAGCTTTGTCATCAAAGGAATAACTCTTTTATAATTTTTCAAAAACATTATAAAAAGTGTCATTGACCCCAAACTTTTGAACAGCAGTGTGTATCCCATTTATAAACCATAAAATGTTATGATACATTTTACTTCACTACATACATATAGATAACTTTAAGTTTGTGAACAAGAAAAACATACGTACCTCCACTTCCCATAGTGCTTTTGAACTGGTGGCGGAGGTTGCTGATTGGCGGAGAGTGGTTCTTAAGAAGACATACTGTTGCTTTTTGTACTCATCACAAGTAAGAAACTTTTCTTGCTCGGCATGAAACAACCTCACCACATCCCCCTGAGTGAATCAAAGAGAGAGACAAATGATTAGAGAGATATTATAAACCACATTCAATACGAAACAAACCTAAATCAATACATCACTCCCCACATATCTAATAAACCACAACATAAGACTCACCCCTTTTAATACGTCATCTCTGTATTCACTGAATTTCATGAAAAGAGTGACCTTCCAACTGGTGTTGCAGTTCAAAGCGTTAACCTGACAGACCGGAAATACAAAACACACATCTTTATTTCCATTACTTTTTCATAGCATTTCTACTTATTTCTCAAAACTGTTTTTTTATTAACTCAAAAAACAATTATATCACAAATCAAACATTTCTTTTACTTTTCATACAATATATTTTGAATTTTTAAAACATTTTAAGGTTATTGCAAATATTCTAAAAGTACATTCAGGTGTTTTTTTTTTTTTTAAGTAGTGCTGTCAAACGATTAATCGCATCCAAAATAAAAGTTTTTGTTTACATAATATATGTGTGTGCACTGTGTATATTTATTATGTATATATAAAGACACACACATAAGCATATATTTTGAAAATATTTACATGTATATATTTATATTCATATAAATTATATCATATATAAATATATTTAATATAGAAACATAACATATTTTTCTTAAAAATATACATGCATGTGTGTGTATTTATATATACATAATAAATATACACAGTGCACACACATATATTATGTAAACAAAAACTTTTATTTTGGATGCGATTAATAGTGATTAATCGTTTGACAGCACTAGTTTAAAGCATTTTTTAGTCTTCATGAATGTATTATCTAGACTGATATATTTCAAAACGAAGCAAAACTTGAAAATCCCTATAGAAATTTCCATGACTTGTTCAAGATTTATAACATTAGATTAATTTTCTAAGCCTGGAATCCAAAAATTTCCCTCACATTTCCAGGTTTTCCACCACCATGGGAACCCGGGTAATTAATACAATGCATCAGAAGCTGTGACTCATCATGTGATCTCATTAACAGTGCTGCGGAGAACACAGTTGGTGTCTGACCTCTTTGCAGCCACGGTTATCCAGGAGTTCGATGTTGCTGGCGTGGAGAGGCTGCCCTGCGTTTACAGGCATTAGAACCACTTTATCTCCAACCACCACCTACAAACACATTCACATATATAACACTGCATTCAACCACAGAGGTTTCTGTTGTTTCTCCATTTCAACAGTAAAAGAAACCAAATGACATCACATCCTGTGACATGCAGAGTTTAGAAACTGGTGTTTTAGACACATTTATACTTGACCCCATGAAGTCTGTAAGCATGCCTTTCTTATGCTAACTTATTAAGTAAAGGAGTCAACTGTGTTAAAAGCGAATAAAAACAATGCCATTGATCACAAATTCAATAGAACCAATCATTTAATTCCGTTAATTTTATAATAATTGATTAAATAATCATTTGTAGGTCAATGAAGTTGTTCATACGTAAATGATTTACATTTTAGATGCTGTCAATATGTCAATATTGCATGTTTTCATGATGTGTATGCAAATGTAAGTAAATGCACATATGGTAGAACCACACTTTTTTTAAAAATGCATAAAATACTGAAATAATGTTTTTAAAAGATCTTAGCTAGTGTTAAGTTTAGGATATGAAGGATTAAAAAAAGAACTTAATTGAGTTAACTGAACAATGAAAATGTGTAAATTACAGTGACAATGAATGAAGAACAAACTATTTGTACATCAGCTATTAATGTATTAACAATGTAGAGACTACAATTTATAAACTATGAATTAACTATTGTTTGATTTATACATACTTTATTACTGTATTCACATACTAATGTTACCAACAAAATAAAGGCCATGGGGTATTAAGAAAGAAAAGTATATTGTCACATGGGAAAGAAAACTGCACTTGTCAAGCTATTTCATTGGGTCGTAAATTGCAGATACTAATGAAAAATGACTGACAACTTATATAGTTGTTTATACACACAGATATAAGATCCATTGCATGCTTAAAGAGCTAGTGTAAATGCACAGTTTGTGAATAACATGTGAGTGAAGTGTTTATCATTCTCTTTCTCTATACATAATATAACATCACACACAACCAATCTCACTCAGAACTCAAGCCACTGATGTCAACAGTGAATCTGAACCTGTTTGGATGCTATTTAATAATTCTATTCTGATCTGGAAACTATTTGCATACTAGAACTGATTGTATTTGGATATATTTTAATAGTTCAGGCTTGAAAGAAAAAAATCAAGACTGTAACAGGCAGTTAGGGTTGCATGTCACATGCATGTTAGCATGCTGCATACTTCTCCGTGTATACACACACTGCATGCGCCAAATATATTATATACCTTCACGATTCAGTTGCTGAGATGAAAACAAGAGGAGAGACCAGTTAACACAACAAAATGTTAATATAATGATGAGAGGTGATTAGCTTTTTAAAATGATAATGCAGTAATTTCTTCACTGCATGTTTAAAAAAAGAAAAACATGATAAAAGTCAGAACCTAAACACAGCGATTGTTTCTGAAGATTTGTTGTGTTAGTGGAGTGAAGCCTACATTGTCTCCTTCGCTGCGTAGCTTCCAAAAAGGCTGGATGTAGAACCAGGAGCCCTCGTTTCCTGAAGGGTCCAGAGACACGCGCATGGCGTTCTTCTCCAGCAGGGCCGGAAGACGCTTATTCACTGTCAGGTACTTATTACTCTTAATATGGAGAAGCTGAAAATATAAGGACAGTTTACTGTATTAAAAATACTGTACCACATACATTATCATTCAAAAATTTGAGGTCTATAGGATTTTTTCTTTTTTGAGCAATGCATCAAATGACAGTAAATACATTTATATATTACCAAAAAAAAATCTATTTCAAATTAATGCTGTTCTTTTGAAATTTCTATTCATCAAATAATCCTCAAAAAATGTATTACTGTTTCTACAAAAATATTAATATTACACATTTCTTTAGTACCAAATCAGCATATTAGAATGATTATAAGTAAAATAAGATGCAAATATAGACCAGTCATAATTAAAAAGTGAAAAGTCTGGCTCTGTGAGACTATAATCTGATACTAAACTGAAACTTTCAGTTTATTATCAGATGCTAGACATACATAGCCAGACTTTTGAATTTCAAATCTTATCTTTGAAAGTAAAACACAAGGCCACACACACACACACACACGAATTTCAGTCAAGTCAGTCGCCTTGAAGGCAACTGCAAAACTCAAACGAAGAGGCCCGTTGGGTCAAATATGTTTGGCAAAATGTCGGCAACCATGGTTTTTGTGTAAGCCCATAGAAACACTTAGATTAAAGTGACCAATCAAACAGGCATTTTTTTCTATCAGTTCTAGAGCCGTATATCACCCATGCTGTCAAACGCCTCTTTGGCCCTTGAGCGGGGCACTGGCAGCCTAGGCAACAGTGTGAAAACAAACAGAACGTTCTTGTGTCCAACCAAAAGTGTAAAAAACAAACATTTGTTGATAAGAAGAGGGAAGCTTGACTGTACCTGTATAACCCGACTATATTTGACAACCTCTCCCAACAATTTCTTGTTCTCAGTGTCATTTTGTTTCTGCTCCAGTTCCGCTGCATGCTGCAAAACGTAGAAGAAAAGACAGAAAACTATAATTAGCAATCCCAAAATGCCTAGTAGTAGAATTCTATTGCATAATCAGTGATGTTAAAGAACTAAGATGCATATCTACTGTGAGCATGCAGTGTTTTAAGGGCACCTGTAATTTCTTGAAGAGATCTCCCTGTGTGTTGTTCCCATGTTTCCCCTGTTTTGCCTTCCAGAACTGTCTCTGTGCAGAGTACCTATTCATAGGACACACCTTGAAGAGACAATCTAGACAACAAAAAGAAAAACAATTCTATTAGGTGCTTTTATACATACTTTATATAAATGTTTCATAAAGTAAGTATATAAAAAATACTATTTCTATATAATATTATTTATGTGTGCATATACATATTTCTAATTATATTATATTATATTATATTATATATTAACAATACATATAATAACAATATATATAATAATATAAATAAAAGGCATTGTAAATTGGTTTCGGTGTCACTACTGAATCCAAGTGACTGTAACATTTTAACATTTGACAGACTGTGTCTTTGAGACAAATAAAAGGACAGCACTGACAAACACAAGTCTGTAATTTTTACTTGCAAACCAAATAGAACCAGGATTTCTCCTTGATGTGAATGTACTGTGCACAAACAAAATAGAAGAAGACAATCTCAAATAGATCTCCTCAAATGTCCCTTTTGGCAAAGTGACAACTGAGTAAATCCAACAGAGTCAGAGTTTATTTGCTAACTGAGCAAAGGACATATATTATAGAGCAAATAGTGCATTTAGAAAGACCTTCAGGGAACCACTAAAATGTGTCTACTACTCCAGTGTAAAGGTCTCATTCAAAAAAGATTTAAGAACATTTTATACAGAATAAGATCTCTAACTTGGAATTATATACATAATTATTGACATTCAGATTAACATTTACTATAGTTCAGCAAATTTTTGCAGGCTACATCCAGTCAAAGGATTCCAAGTGATTGGGAATTTCACATTAAGGTGAAAGATTTTCCCACAGATTTCAAAACGCGATTTGACGCGTTGACCAACAGAAAGATGCTTGGTTTGAAAGTGACTTGTGTGCTTTATATATCACTACACAATTGACAACAGACAACGCAAAACTTAACCTGCAAAATTTTGTTTATTATTTTATTTTACTATTATTTGACCATTATATTCATTTTCCAGTGAACTTTTACTTCGAAAAATCACCAAGTACACAAAAAGCACAAGTTATCACATGTGCGTTGTGTTCAAAAGCACAGGACGCTTGTATTGACTTGTAGTGAACATCCCTCTGGAGCTAGTTTCAACAAAGCCCTCCAGCACAAGAGGAAAATAAGAGTTTACAGTTGCTGCTATTTCTGATTCTCCAAATTGCATTTGAGGAACAACACTGTTTATCCACCTCAGCTTACAATTCTAGTCATTAGGCAACAGCCAGGCACCCTACTGAGATCTCACTATAAAGCTGAAGACGTGGGGCTCTGACAGACTGCGTGGCCTTGGCAAGCGCAAAGATTCAGTGTGTAGGAGGCTGTTACTGCTCAAGGGCCGAGTAATTAATCAGTGGCTGAGCAGGTGTTAAGAAACACACACACAGAAAACTACAGCTACATATTTACATTGCCCGGTGTTGGGATTTCTTTTTGCCTGCCACTTTTTATTGGTACTGCAATGCTGGGAAGTAACTAAGCAAAAGTAGCGACGCTAACTTAACTACATTTTTCTTCAGCATTTAGCTCAAGTTTTTCAAAACAGCATAACAAGCTACTTCTTCCACCAACTAGTGTAGTAGCTTGTAACACAGCTATAACTTGACTGTAGTTTAACTACTTTAAATTATGAGTACGTTGTAGCTTAATAAGCTAATTTGAAATTAGCTTCCAACACTGTTATATCCATAACAACAGTCAATTGGCTAATAATGGTGCTAATATGTTAGCATTGGGTCATTTAATGTGATGAATCTTGTCTGACCGACTCACCTCTGAATTTTTTCGGTGGGTTTGTAAGATCCCCAACCCCTGGTTGCACCACACATCTGTCATCCACCAACCTGAAGGGACAAAATATGACAAAATATGAATTTATACATTAAAGGATTAGAATATACATAGATATATATATATATTTTTAAATTAGACAAGCAGCAAATATCAGATTTTTTAAAAATACAATTATGGTTTGACCCTACCCAAGACAAGTAGTTTAGAAAATGTATGTAATTATAAGAAATATTTTGTAAGCACCAAATCAGCATTTTACAATGACTTTTCTGAATCTGTGTCCAAATACACACATTTTTGCTCACTTTTTCCCTTAACCAACTATGAGATATTCACTGTTTGAATACAGTATGCATTTGTTGGAAATAGTCTCAATCATTTATGTTTTCTGAGGCACCTTGTTCAGCATGGCATGTCATGGCAAGTCATGGCATGTCTATGTTATACATGCAAAATGTTCATCAGACACTGAACAAATGGAACAGATTATATAACTTTCAGACAGCCAGTATTAAAGATCAGATTTGAAACCAAATCAAATGTGCATTTAATCAGTTTCCAAGCATGGCCTCTGTTCAGTGGTGGATGTAAAGCAGCAAATTAGTCCAGCATCATTTACTGAAGTCCCGCTGTGGACACTGACTGGTCTAAAAGAGAATTTCCAAAATGTTTCAGTGCTTATTAGTGCCACTGCCATGCATCAAATCAAAGAGTGGAAGCTTGTTAGATACTCAGTGGATTCACAAGACTAAAGTGAACAGAAAGAACAGCACAGAAACAAAACGAGCAACATGAGAATTTAAAAGACAGACAGAAAAGTCCTCCGATATTGATATAGAAAGCCAAAATGCTTCAGGTTTTATTATGAAAAAGTCTTTCAAGACAAAAGAAAAGAGACTTAGTAGGCTCAACGGAGTATATCAAAGCAAACAGAGTTTCCTCTCATGAAGGACTCAATTGAAAATGCTTGTAATCCTAAATCAACAAACTATTCAACTCTCTTTAAATGCAGAGCATATTTGCCCACTCTATGGTCAATGCAAACCCACACAGTTAAATTTAATTACACACTATCCTGTGACCACAGGCTCTCTTAACAGAGTAAGGCTATGTTGAAACCTTTCAGAACACAATTTTCTTTAGTTTAAAGGAACACTCCACTATTTTTGAAAATAGGCTCATTTTCCAACTCCCCTAGAGTTAAGCAGTTGAGTTTTACCATTTTCGAATCCATTCAGCCGATCTCCAGGTCACTTTTAGCTGCAGCTAAGCATAGATCATTCCAATCAAAAATGTCTTGTAAAGTGAAAAGCTGCATGTTTGTAATAAACAGAAAATTCATCATTTACATTTTTTAATTGTAAACAACTGCAGTAAACAACTGCTTCTGACCAAAATCTGTCCAAAAATGTCCATTCCCTGTTGTCCTCTCACACGCAGCTTTTTGCTTCACAAAATATCAATCAATGGACTGGAGTCATTTGGATTACTGTAATTTTTTATCAGCTGTTTTAATTCTCATTCTGACGGCACCCATTCACTGCAGAGGATCCATTGGTGAGCGAGTGATGTAATGCTGAATTTCTCAAACTCATCTACATCTTGGATGGCCTAAGGGTGAGTAAATTTCCAGCAAATTTTTATGTATTTAGTTAGTAATTTTAAAGTTATGTCTTCAATATTAAATCAATCAACCAGAGATTTAAGAGCCAATTTAACTGAAGTGCCTCTCTTTAAACATAAAGAGGCTTTTTTTGTGAAAGCCTGAACAAAGTTTAGATAAAGAAGGAAGCTGCAGTGCTCTTTGTAGGCCTGATAAACATACCAACATCCAGGCTTTCCCCACTGCTGTAGTTCAAACTAAAAATAGGCAATTACTTATCAAGGGTAGCTCATGGTTTTCTTAATGATAGCACTTGTCTCAGCTTGGCTATCTTGTGAACACAGTTGTCTGTAAATAAATACTTCAGCAATAAAATGCAGAAGTTCACACTACTGTGCTGAACTGACCGGAGGAATGTGGGTATGCATAGTCTCTTAAAGGTCGCCTACATGTTGTTGACAGTAAAACAGAGTTGTTTTTATTACATTTTTTGTTTAAACTGAATTAATTAATAATTCTTTCATGATGGAAATCTAACCACTCAATGTGTTGTATGACATCAAGCTAATCTTCGTTCAATTATAGAAGACACAAAAAAGGAATGAATGGTGTAAGTTCACACTACATACACTACCACATTTAAAGGAAGTGCCACACAGCATATGACAGAAAGGCTGTTATCTGAGCAGTAGCATTACTTTTTACCTGTTACCCAAGAGTTGGGCGGCAACAGTGTTTCCCCAACCTTTTGTGTACACCTTTGTCAACAACAACAAATAAGAAATGTGTTTATTAAAAATGATAAAAACATGAAATATGAATTAAAACCCATCATTTATGTCAATGAAATGACTATAGGTGGCAGCCCAGCATATTTGTAAAATATGTATCGTTACATAAGACCATAAAGTGTGGGGAAAACTGTTCAATTTAACTTTTTCAGGTTTATACATAGTTCAGTGTTCACAAGCGTTTTGATGCAATTCAACTATCTATTATTAGTTACTATGCTTTGAGACACTGGACAAGACAAATAGTTTCAAAGCACAGAATAAATAGCACTGAACGTTATACATTAGAATTCTGAAAAAGAAAGAAGTGCGAGTAAGGCGGGTAAAGAGTGCTGCTTCCTGAAATCTAATTCTGTCTTGTGTCTTTGCTGTTATAATCTATTGACAGCCATAATATGTTAAAGGCACAAATACTGCTTTTTGGTTTAGACTTTTTTTTTTTAGGTAGACTTTTAGGTTGCATAGACTTTTTTTAGGTTATCATGTGTAGGCTATGGAATTCTGAGGACGAACCATTCTACTTTTTCCTTACAGTAAAAAGTAATTTCTCTTGAAAAAATCAGCAACCACAGAGCTACCAAACCACCACAAAAAGAGCTGCTCTACTGAACGATGACTAAGCCAAGTAAGTGCAGCAAATGGACATTTTCACAGTGACAAATAGTTTTATTGCTTTAATTGACTATGCCAGCACACTTCCTCATCTTCCTTTGTATCTGTACAGGAATATTAAACAAAGACATTAAGTACATTAATAGGATGTGTTTTAGAAGAGGGAGAAGAAAGCAGGAAAGATGCCAACAGCCCAGTTTTACACGCTCATAAATGAGTAACAGAGTGCTTCTAGTTCTTTTTAAACTCTTTGACAGCCAGCAATCTTCAAAGACACAATGAAGTACACCAAGTTAAACATGAACCAAATGCAAGCCTGGTCGGCAGTGTTCAAACATACTAATTATAGCTCCATTACTTGATGACATGAGGTGAAGGAGTTAGACCTTGACTAAAGCAAAATAATCGCCCCTTGCTTGCTACAAGTTAAGCACGTTATAACAAATTCCTATTCTTTCACTTAAACATTTGTATTTGATATGTAAGAAACTGGGAGTAAGCCTTCACAGCCATGAACTGAGGCCTATATAGAATGAACTGTGGGACCACCTATATTATTGTCCTTTTAACCAATCTACTCTCAAATTATGGCCATAAATGTTTATGTTGAATTTCAACCAATCTAGCTTCTTATCAGTCTTTTTCCTCTACTAGGGTTCTGCAGTACAACAAGTCCTTGGTACCTAAACAAAGAAAACCCCATTCAACTTACATTATATTTCTACAAACCCATGACAGCCTCTGGGAAATAATCCAAGAACGCCTTGTTTAGGATCAGAAGAAAAGCTCTGGCAATGTTTGGTATGGAGTGCAAGCATACTACTAGTATACACTGCATCCTGCCTACTAAGTTGGCAAAATATTAAGAAATAGGCAGCGCAACCATTAAAAACTGTAGTTTGATTCATATGTGAAACATGTTTTTTTTGCCAATCTGATCATTTCATTCATTAACTGGAAATAGAAAGTTGAGTCAAGCACATTGCATTGTGGGAAGCAGTCCTCTCATAGAATGCAGTGCCCACACACTTTTTCAATGGCCTTGGTTCCGATAGTATTTTTCATAGGGATTTAGAAAAAGGACTTTAAGAATTATGAGCTATGGGGTGCTAGCGAGCGGCGAATGGAGTAGACACAGTTTTTTGAGTCTCCTCAAGCTGCCTCCTGTTTTTGTTTAATATACCCATCAATATACCAGTGCACCCTAAGTGTGAGTACTCTGTTCATTAGTTAATTGTTGGCAATTGTGTTTAAAGTTTTTATTTTGGACAATCAAACAATGACTTCCAAGAAGCTCTCGAAGGCCGCGCAGCAGAGTAAAGATGGCGATGCTACAAGTGATTCCCTCCCTTCAGCAACCGCCAACGCTATACTCGCCGCTATTGAGACACAAGGCAATGATCTGAAGCGGCTGATCGAGTATACTAAGTTGTCAATCAACACTCGTCTTGATGCACTGGATGCCGTGCTGGCGAATGTACAGTCTGAACAGTCGGGTGTTAAGAAAAGGGTTGAGGAGCTGGAATTAGCCGTGACCAGTTGTGATTCGCGCTTGGAAGAATTTGAGAGAGTTTGTGAGGAATTGCACTCTGACAACAAATTTCTCCGTGCTAAGGTGAATGACCTGGAGGGCCGTTCTTGCAGGCTTAACTTGAATTTGTGGGGATCAAAGAAGGAGCGGAGCAGGGTCATCCTACTGCGTTTATAACTGAGCTGATCTCCACGCTGTTTGGCCAAGATAAATTTCCTAAGCCTGAGAGGTGGCGTCCGATCATTGCGAAGCTACATCACGACCGTGATAAAGAACTGATCCTCCGTCTGAGCCGCGAGAACGCTCCGTTACATTACATGGGGAAACTAGTGCATATTTTCCTGGATTACACAGCGGAGGTTGCCTCAAAACGTCGCGCATTCGGATCGGTGCTGAAAGTTTTAAGGGAAGCGGGGGTGACCTGCTCTCTTCTTTTTCCTGCAAGATTGCGAGTTAAACACAAAGACGCCATCTCAATGTTCGACTCACCAGAGGAAGCACGAAAATTTGCGGACTCTCTTTCTGCCAAATGATCTCTCTTTAGTGAATCTGGGCTGCTGCATTGGTCTGACTAGGGTAGACTGTAAGAGCTCCATTTAAGTTATTTTTTTTATCCTTTTTTAACTTGACGGTTTATGGTTTGAACTTTGTTAATAGCAGGGGAGCATGATAGAGACTTGTTTGTTTTTTTCCCTATTGTTTTTGTTGTAAGTCCTCTTGTTTTCTCTCCCTGTGCTCCGCTACCTTCCAGGTGATGGGTGAGTTTTGCTGTTTCAGTTGGGGAAACGGACGTGGGTGGGGGGTAAGTTGTGATGGGGTTTGCCAGACTATTTGTTTTTCAGAGTTTATTTCCTGCTTTTATACATTACCAATGTTACTCAACTTAATTGATAATGGATGATGCATATAGTTCTGTTGGTGGGACAAACGTCACATTTATATCTTGGAATGTTAGAGGTATGGGACACCAGATTAAAAGAGGCAAAGTATTTGCACATCTTAAATCCCTCTCTGCTGACATTATTTTCCTTCAAGAGACCCATATTAAACAAACAGAACAGAGACGCCTTAGATCTAATTGGATCTCCCAAGTATATCAGTCCTCCTTTTCCACAAAGGCTAGGGGTGTTGCCATTTTATTTCGTAAATCCATCCCTTTTCGTTTGTCAACTGTCATTGCTGTTCCTGCTGGTAGATACATTTTAGTATCTGGGCATATAAATTATTTTCCAATTACCTGTCTAAACATATATGGTCCAAATTTTGATGATCCTAATTTCTTCAGAAAGGTTTTTGATTTGCTTCCTGACCCCAGTTCTACAAATATAATAATTGGTGGCGATTTTAACTGCTATCTTGATGCCTATTTGGATCGTTCTTCAACACAAGCCCCTCATATTTTACACTCAGTTAGCACTTTAAATCATCTATGTAAATCTTTGAATTTAGTTGATATTTGGAGATTACAAAACCCATCTGCTAGAGACTACTCATTCTTTTCATCTGTACATAAATCTTACACTAGAATTGACTATTTTCTTGTTGACTCTAAATTTATTCCAAATGTTATAGAGACTAAGTATAATAATATTATAATTTCTGACCATAGCCCGATTACCATGGTGTTTAAGCTTTCTTTTTCTCAGTCTAAGTACTGTTGGCGTTTGAACCCTGGTTTATTATTACAGGAGCAATTTAATACATACACTTCGCCTCACATTAAGCAGTTTCTTGAATTCAATGACAAAGGCGATGTGTCTGATTCCATTCTTTGGGAGACCTTTAAGGTAGTAGTGCGGGGTAATATAATTGCCTGTGAAGCTAGCAGGAAGAAAGAAAAACGCAGACATCTGGCCGAAATTGAAGCCCTGCTTCCAGCCATGGAGCAGGCATATAGATTGTCCAAATCCCAGTCTGATCTTAATGCCATGTTAAAACTGAAATACGAATACAATAATATTTTGAGCGAGCAGGTTAGTAATATGCTTCTTAAAATTAAACGCAAGCAGTTTGAGATGGGTGACAAACCTGAAAGATTACTTTCTCGGCAACTAAGAGGTATGCAGGCCAACGGAGCTATTTTTCAAATTAAGTCTGGCTCTGGTGTGCTGCTAACTAAACCAAAGGAAATTAATGCTTGTTTTTTGGAATTTTATAAGTATCTTTTTACTTCAAAATGCAATGTGCCTGACTCAGATATTACTGCTCTTCTTGATTCTATTGCCCCCCACAATGGATTTGATAAACCATTTTGGTTCTTTTTCCGGGTATTCAATTAACTGGAAGAAAAGCATCTTCATCCCTCTTGGCAGTCATTTTCCTAATAATTTTTTAGAGTCCATCCCTTTTAATATTGTTCATGATAATTTTACTTATTTAGGTTTGGTTATTCCCACAGATCCAAAAGACATATTTAAGCTTAATTTTATGGCTGCAATAAAGAGCCTGAAATCTACCATTGAAAAATGGAGGGTCTTGCCATTGTCCCTAATTGGCCGTGTTAATGCTATAAAAATGGTGGCCCTTCCAAGGTTTTTATATTTGTTTCAGAATTTACAAATCTATCTGACAAAATCTTTCTTTAGAAACCTAGATTCTATAATTTTCTCTTTTATTTGGGGCTATAAGGCACATCGCATCTCTAAGTCTCATTTAGAAAAATCTAAAGAGCTGGGTGGATTGGCAATGCCAGTTTTTCAGCATTACTTCTGGGCAGCAAATGTTAGGGCTTTGATGTATTGGAATCATGCTTGTTTGTTGTTGTTATAAAACGAATAAAAATAATATGGCAAAAAGAATTATGAGCTATGAGGTGAATCGCAACATTACAAACTTTGATTTGAAGCTTCTTTTGGGCTCAGCAGAAGAAAACTCATACATGTTTGAAACATCATGAGGGTGAGTAAATGGTGACAATTTTCATTTTTGCGTGAACTATGCTGCTAATGGTTTATAAGTTATAAATCCATTCTTCTATGGAGAAGATGATTGGAATTTTAACTTCTGAACCTGAATGTTGTAATCTATTGCAGTGTTCTTTACTCTACATTTCAGCAGATGGAGTTGGTCTATGCATAAAAACCTACTCAAATCTCAAACAAAGGTATAAAAGCTGCTAGTACCTTTCTGAAAGGTACAGATATGTACCATACTAGAGGGTACTAATATGTACACTTTAGGAAGTAATTTGTACATTTAAGGTACTTACATGCACACTTTAGGGAAATGTGTACCTTTTGAAAGGGTACCGCCCAAATGATAGCTTTTGTACTGTACCTTTGTTTCTGAGAGTGCAGTATAAACATAGACTGCAAAGACAGTAAGAGTAGTATGTTAATATCCTATAAGCTCTCTTTGACACAAAGTCTGCTCAAACAGAACACCACAATTTCCAATGCAAGTGCACATTACTACAAATGTGTGTAAATTAGCCTGCATTATGCTCCAAACAAAACCTCAGCACTTACGTTTGAATCATAGTAAGAAAGCGAAAAACCACACATTAAGTTTTACAAATGCTGAAACTCCAAAACAACTAAACAGCTGTGTCATGAATTGTGAAAAGTGACAGAGAAATGACCACGGCTGCAATCCCTCTGATGCAATGCCACAAAAAACTTTTAAAGATAAGACATTTAAGCAAAGAGATGTTGTACATATTGTGACCGCAGCATTCTGAAGGCCACAGAGCAGAATGCCATGGTGCACTGGAGCTTCATTTGTTCTGCACCTTAATTGCTTGATGAGTCATTGCACAACAATGCAAAAGTGATTCAACGAGACCTGAAATGGAGCTGGGTGTTTCACCTCCATGTGGTTAGATTCATAATCTTTCATAAGACTCTCAAGCAGATGTGTTCCTACATGACCATATAAAAAAAAATCACATGAAAACCGCTTCTGTTACACAGTGCAATCTCAGAAACTGTAAAATTAAATTAGATTTGACTAAGTTCACCCAAAAATTAAAATTTGCTGAAAAATATATTCATATGATGTTTTTACTCTCATTCTGACGGCACCCATTCACTGCAGAGGATCCATTTGTGAGCAAGTGATGTAATGCTAAATTTCTCCAAATCTGTTCCGATAAAGAAAAGAACTCATCTACATCTTGAATAGCCCGAGGGTGACTACATTTTCAACTATTTTTATTTTTGGGTATTCCTTTAATAATTAAAGGTGCACTCAGTCAATCTTTATCTGAGTTTAGCTGGATCTTACTCATTCCAAAAGTACCACTTATCCTCATTCTGTTTTGATGGGTGGCCTGCAGACATCCTGAACCATACTATAGTTACTGCTTATCCACTGGGGCTGGTGCTCAGCAAAGAATGGCACTAGTTCAGAACCGGCTCGTATTTCCACTTTCAAACTGCAGTCAGAGGTTCCCTTGTTCGAGACCAGCAAGATTTAGGGGTTGGTTCAGAACCAAGATCTGTGATCCAAGACTATTTTTCCAGCCCCAGTGGAAAGGTGGTAAGTGTTGACAAGACTCCATACCTGCAGCATGTATAATGTGTTTGTTGTTATAATGTATTGTGTGCTATAGGCTACTTTGTAATGACCAATGGATAAAAGAGCTCTATAAAGTGAACATATTATTCTTGCTGTGATTATTAGTAGCCATGGATGAAAATCAACCATTTGCATGACACACCAGGTCACATGATATCAAAAATGGTGCCATCCATGAGGCAGTGAACCACTCCATGTAGATTAAATCAGCTTGTTTTTTTAATAGACTAATATATCTGGAGTCTTTATTTCATGTGATGTAAATAACTCCAATGATATTTCTCTCAAATGTGCTGTTGATTTTTTCAAGTGTAAAGCTTTTTAATTAGCAAACACTACTACATGCACCTTTAAATTGAGCCTACATTGTTATATTAGCGTTACTGTGTAAACTAACAGAAACCTTTGCATTCCTGTTCAATGATTTGCATGCTTCTGAAGCAATGCTGTCACATAGCACCTCTGGCCTGCAGCTCAAATCACTTCCTACTTCCACTCAACAAACTTCTTCTGACATGAGGAGGACAAAACATACATGAAATAGTATTGCATGTTTAATAATGTAACACTGCATTTTGGGCAACATAATAACATCAGCGTATCTGAACGAAATGTCTAACTGCCATGTTTACTAACGTTTAAGACTAATATAATGAGCAATGGGAGGCAACTTACCCTAAAGTGCTGATAAATCCATTGACAGTTCCCTCAGCATACAGAGACACGATATCCCCAATGTGAAGGAAACAGGACCTGTGTTCCGACATATCTGCAAACGTTTCAGTAGATTTTCCGATACTTTAACCCCTCTGATCCAGTGCAATGTGTCCAGTCGACTCAGTGTCTCAAGCCACTTGTTTCTTCGCTTTGATAGTAACACATTGTAATCCAGCCGTCCGGAGAAGAGACGTGCTGCTGAGCCTGTGACTTTTGAGTTGTGAATCGTCTAACTGTCGCGTTTCTTCATGTTTTCAACTTCTTCCTGTGGAAACAAACGAGGCTTTTTCTCACCAATATGCCACTCGAGTGGGAGGAGACTCGCTCTCTGTCCCGTGAAATCAAGGAAGTGATGCTGTCTGTCTTGAATGCTGTGGTATGCAAATAAAAAGTGAGAATGCGACTTGTGTGTTTGCGCATTTGCGCAGTCGTGCTTGCACTTGCGTCGGTGGTGCACAATTATTCCGGAAGTTTATCGTCAAACTTTTTATTTTACATTTTATTTTATGAATGAGTTTAAGCAATACTGTTAATTTTTTGTATAATGTAAAACCAGTATTTAATATTATTATTTAATATATCTGCACTTCAGTGAAGTGTCATCCAGCTATTTGTTTGTTTAGCTTTTTTTTATCATTATATATGACCAATTATAGCCTACATACAGAAAAATAAATGTAAAAAATAAAAATACTACTTTAGAAACCATTCTGATTTCGCCATTAGCCTATTGCTTCAGTTCTAAATATTTAATAAAGCAAATAGCCATATGCCATAGTCATAAACGCTTGTGATTTATTGAATATATTAGTATATATTTTAAAAACGTACCCTTTGTGTTTGTCTGGTTGATGTTCATTTAATGCATTTTTTTGTGTTATTTGAAAAATGAAAGTTCCTTATTTGATAAAGCAAAATAATTTTGCTAACATTCTTTTTAATATTTTAAATGAGATAGCTTTGTAACCTATATAAAAGTGCCACTTGAAGGTCATATAACTTGTCAAAGTGTCTTTGAATAATCTATAGAGCCCCTTTACATAATCACAGAAACAACTGTTTGCTTATCAGACATGAGCAAAGTCTTCATTTGTAACTTCTCGTGTAGGCCTACCTAAGAATAATGACAGATATGACTGATTAATGGTATAATAACATTACTGATTAATGGATCTATTTAATATTTATTCAGAGGTAATTTGTTGAAGAAATATAATTCATAACACTGTCTAATCTTTACCACTTTGAGATTTTCACCTTATAATTTAACTATGTATGTACGGCATATAATAGTATTCTCTTTCTTGATCTCTTAATCTCAGGTTTTGTTAAACTCGCCTGCACTGCCATCTAGTGTCACGAGAATGAAATCCTCAAAATAAAATCACATGGTCACATGGTTGGTTTTGTTTCTCGATTACAACTGAAATTTGGTTTCATAATGTAACAAATCCAACTTCACAGTTTATTAGTTTACAAAGAAAGCCTATTGTTAAAATAAATATAGAAATATTCCTATATATTACTCATTTTACCACCATACTTTTTTCCTGTGTCATTCAATTTGATCACACATAACTTCATTTCTGAACTTATTATTTTTTTTTTTGTTTTGTTTTCTCTGTATGTGTGGATTACTCGGGTTGTTACCGACATCTGGTGAAAATTTCATGTCAACACCACCTTTAGAAAAATATCTACGTGTTCAATACTTATTTTACCCGCTATGCAAAAAAAAAGTGCAGTGGGTCTGTCCAGGTATAGCTATAAAGAAAATAGACATAAAAAATAAAAATACCAAAAAGATTAAAAATATAATATTAATGAATTGCTTTACACATGTTGTTTAATTAGTTTAATGATCGAGAATATATTTTTCCCCTCTTTTTTTCTTCATTGGTTTTGTTGAATGTTCAGTGACTGCAATGTGCAGTTTTACAGAGATAAACAAGATGGTGCTAATCACAAGCATTTCATGGAAACATGCAAACGTCCTGATTATCAATACATTTTCCCCAAAAAATGCCCCATATTTATTTTGTGCATATCACAGCCTTCATATCTGTGTGTAGCCTATTTATTAATAGAAAATATTTTAATTCAAATTTATCTTATATACATGTGGCAAGCACTTCTTAATTCTTATTTTCATCAGTAGGTGGTGTTGCTTTTTTAAAATTGTCCTGTTTCTAGGTCTCATACGCTGCACTTAAACATTTATTGTTTTTATATTTCAGCATTTAAATCGCCTTTATGTGTTTAAAGTAATCAAATATCCAAGTTCTCACTATAAGACCAGCAGCAAGCCTTTTTTTTTCAGAATTTAAGTGAATGAGTGTGACTGCATTCATAGGGTTAGTCTACAGTTATTATAATGAATTAGTTTTTCATCAAATCAATAGACATCTATGGTATGTCAGCATTTATATACTATATAAATATACTTATGAGGTCCTCACTAAAATAGTGAAACCTACAGCATGAAAACACTCACCTGTGAGGGCATTTGAGGTGATAATGTGCTTGAAAGGCTTATAAATGGACCAAATCATGTTTAAATCTACAGATGTCAATAGGTTTGTATGACTGGCAGATTTATCACGGTTGGGATTTAGCAAATATCGTCAGCTTCATAGAAAAACCACTGTGTCTATGAGTGGTTCCCACTTACAAATCTAAAGTTTGTGTGTGTATACTTGGTATTCCCTATGTTATGGGGACCACATGTCCCCACACAGTAATACATTTTACCCTTGCAGGGACATTTCTGAGGAAACAAGCTTATAAATCATACAGAATTAAGTTTTCTGAAAATGTAAAAAGTTTTGCGGGAGGGTTTAGGGGATACAAGTTTATACAGTATAAAAACCATTACGTCTATGGAATGTCCCCATAAAACCAACGTGTGTGTGTGTGTGTGTGAGAGAGAGAGAGAGAGAGAGATAGAGATTTAATGATTTCATTAAATTATATTTTAATATATTTGTGATATGGAAAATAATTTGTTGTTTTTCCACCACCTGTCATAAATGTCAAGACACATCATGATTTTTTTCTTCATGTTTGTTTTGTGGCAGAAATGTTTTGCTACTTTTTTCCACACTATCTATCAGGGGAGCCCCTATCTATGTGGAGCCCCTGGGGAAGTGAATGGTGTGAGTGGGACCATCTGCATCTTCCCCTTCAGAATGTGTTCAGGTTTGATTGACAGACACTTGTTGGGGAAAATATATTTAACAGCAACACATTAAATGTTAAACACAGATGCTACCGGATCATTTCCAGAATCACCAACACAATCTACCAAGACGAGCAGTGCAAATTAGCATCTGTGTAACGGGGTGGGTGTTATATAGTGAGTGAGGTGATTAGAAACAGCTGTGTGCAATGAGTGCAATCAGTGCAGTGTGCAAATCGTGCAAAGAATGATGGGATATGTAGTCCGGGGTGCTATGCAACAGTTTGTGTTGTGCGAGAGTCAATGTAATGGAAAGGGTGCCCTCTGGTGGTGAATAAACGGAAGTCCATGGACCGAATTCGTGACAATCTGGTTTAAGACTTTTCGGGGGTCTTAAATAATGGCACAAATAACAGTAAACTGACTAGCACAAACCTTAGTAAATCATATTGCGCGATTCATATAAATATTCTTCTCCCATAAATTTTGCGTCTGAAAAGGAAACTCCTACAAATGCAAATAAAGTCAGAGGAAAATGTAACTGTCCAAAGCTTTTCAGTGCTAATTTTTCACTGCGTGCCTTTAGTAAATCCTGACAGTAGTTTTTTACCATCAAAAGAGTTTATTCTGGCACAAGCCGTTAGTAAATCTGGCCCTTAGTTTTTTTATTTTAAACATGCTTATTGTGTAACATAACAGATGAATGCAAAGAGTCAACATTAATGTTATAACATCAAATAAATAGCAAAGCCACTTTAATAACACAGAACAACACATCTCAGTCAATGTATACACAAACAGAATATCTGAAATTTTAGTTAAGACAATTAATCAAGCAAGAGTCATTGAACATAAGTACCTCAGCACTGTGCAAAAATAAGCATTTAAGAGAAAAAGTTAATCAGTTAAACAAGCCTTATTTATTTCAGTGTTTGACCCTGGCTCTCCACAAAGGGTACTTATTTGATTTACAGCGGTAGAGTGGAATGCGACTAGCAATCACCTTAAGTTTCTCTCTCAGCTCATCTTGTCTGTTTTGATCCTGCTTCCAGATGTTTTTGAAAGCAAAAGCTTTAATTCCCTTGTATGCTATTAATTTATCAAGCCCTCCTGTAATCGCGTACTTGCCACTGAGACAGGTGTTCATACAGGGAGAGTTTAAGGTGTAGAAAACCACACAACCATCCTTTCTCTTATTCAACAAGTTTGTCAAGGGTGAATTATCTGGAGGGTTCATCAGTAGAAACTCTGAATGAGCAGTGTTTGGTGTCTTCTGTACTCCTGCAGCAATGAGCTCTTTGCCTTCGTAAACTGGTCTTTCATCAGCACTTATGATATTTTTCACATTTGTGTTGTTGTCTTCTTTCAGGAAGTCGGGGAATGTCGATGGTATGAAACCATTCTCACACTGAGTCTTTGGGACATTGATGGCTACTGCATACTGCCCTATTTCATAACTAAAAAAAAAAAACATTCTCACACTGAGTCTTTGGGACATTGATGGCTACTGCATACTGCCCTATTTCATAACTAAAAAAAACCAAAAAAAAAAACCAGAAATGTTCACAATTACATATTCAAAACTGAGGTACTGGTCAAACATGCATACTGGAAAAGTGTGAATGAGTGCAAATAGATGTATTATCTCTTCTTGTATTTAGTCTGAAAATAATAAATTACACGTAATACTCAAAATGTAATCAGAAAGTGCAAAAATTCCCACAAACAAATGTTTCAACTAACCTTTACTTCAGTCAAATGAAAACTTACTTCTGATGAAAAAATCTTGTAATTTTGGCCAGAGTTTCAATGTCCACAGGCTCACCCTCCACACTTTGAGAATAAAGATGAAGCAGAGAGACCAGGAGAAGGGCTCTTGACAGCACAATAAAAACCTAAATTGTTGAAAAAAGCAAAATCATCAACAGTCCTATTTCATCTGTGTAGTATATTACTGTGTGAACTGCACAGCAAACTTCTCCAGGTTTATGATCAAGTTAAACTTTTGTTCACAAGAGGGCATTGACAAATGAAAGGTTAAAATGGACCAACTGAATATAAAATATAGTATGGTTGCTTACCATGATGTCCGTTGTGGATTATCTAGCAGAATCTTTATTGCATATATGAATTCTCTATAGCCCCCCTAAAAATGGCCTAGCGACGCCCATGTCTCTCATCA